TAGAACAGAGTCTTTTCAAGAAGACTCTTTGTTGCATGGAAGAGAAAGGACTTTATAATGAAGTCCATTCTATTCTTCAGGGTTTACAACAGAACCACAAAGATCTATAAAAAGAAGAGTGTATGTCATCTCATCATTATGATTTTCTTTTTAAAATTCTAATAGTTGGAGATTCTGGAGTTGGAAAGACAGCTATTTTACAACGATATTGTAATAATACCTTTGATGAAAGATATGTTTCAACAATTGGAGTTGACTTTAAACCTATGATATTAAATCTTGGTGAAAGAACAGTTAAATTACAAATTTGGGATACTGCTGGTCAAGAAAGATTTATGAATATAACTGCTGCATATTTTAGAAATACTACTGCTGTAATAATTGTTTATGACGTTAATAATCGAGAGTCATTAAGTAAAGTATATTCATGGTATGGAGAAGTAAATGAAAAAACAACACAACCAAATCCAGTAATATTTTTAGTAGGTAATAAAAAAGATGAGAATTCAGATTCATTAATCAATATTGAAGAAGCAAAAAGTATTGCATCTAAATTAGGTAATATTAAAGTAATGGAATGTAGTGCTAAAGATAATATTGGAATTAAAGAACTATTTGGGAGTCTTGTTGATACTATTTTAGAAAAAATAGATAACGATTTAGATTTACCAAAAGGAAGTCAATATGTTGATGGATTAACTATAAACGATAGAAAAGAATCAAAGTGTTGTTAATTTAAAATTAAAAAATAGTTCATTAAAAATTCATATATTATATACCATTACATCATTTCAATTAAAAGAATTTTTAAAATATTATTTTTAAATATTTTTACCAATTAATCAGTTTTTCAAATGAAAAATCTTTTATTTTTTCTTTTTTTAATTTTTTTAAAAAAGGAAAATATCAAAAAAACCCTAATTTTTAAAAACAATCAATTATGAAGAGAGATATTAAACACAGTAAGAAGAGAATTGATCTTGAGGAAGTCATTAACCCATTAAATGGAAAACCGTTTAGTGAAAATTATTTTAAATTACAAGAAAAAATAAATGCATTACCAGTGAAACAGTATGAGAAAGAAGTGATTGATGCGTTAAAAAAAAATAGAGTACTCATTCTTGAAGGAGCAACTGGATCAGGAAAAACTACTCAAATTCCTAAATTTTGTTTAAATCCAGAAATTTGTGGTGGGAAGGGTGTTTGTTGTACACAACCAAGAAGGGTTGCAGCTATTTCTGTTGCCCAAAGAGTTGCAGAAGAAATGGATGTTCAGTTAGGAGAAGAGGTAGGTTATTGTGTACGTTTTGATGATTGCAGAAGTGATAAAACGAAGTTAACATATATGACTGATGGTATGTTATTGAGAGAGTTAATGGGAGATCCTAAAATTCAAAAATATGGAGTTATTTTACTTGATGAAGCACATGAACGTACAGTATCAACAGATATATTATTTGGTGTATTAAAATCATTATTAGAAGAACGAGAAGATTTAAAAATTGTTGTCATGAGTGCTACTTTAGAAGCTACAAAGTTTAAAGAATATTTTGATAATGCACCTAATATGTCTGTTGAAGGAAGAACATATCCTGTAACAATTAATTATAGTAGATATCCAGAAAATGATTATTTCGAAGCTGCAGTTAAAGTTGTTACTAAAATTGATAATGAACCAGAGGGTGATGTTTTAATTTTTATGACTGGTGAAGAAGAAATTGAAGAAATGGTTACAAGAATCAATTCAATGAAAACAAAAAGTCATATGATTGCTTTACCTCTCTATTCTGCTTTACCACAACAAGAACAACAACGTGTTTTTGAGAAAGTAAATGGAAGAAAAGTAATTGTTTCAACAAATATTGCAGAGACATCAGTTACTATTGATGGAATTGTTTATGTTATTGATACTGGTTATGTTAAACAAAAAGTATACCTTCCATCTACTCGTGTTGAAACATTACAAGTTACTGCAATTAGTCAAGCTGCTGCTCAACAACGAGCTGGAAGAGCTGGAAGAACTAGACCAGGTCAATGTTATAGATTATATACTGAAAAAGGATTTAATGAATCATTACCTAAACAAACTATTCCTGAAATGTTAAGAACAAGTCTCGCAAGTGTTATTTTACATATGAAGAAAATAGGAATTAAAGATATCCTTCATTTTGATTATCTTGATGCACCATCTCCACAAGTAATGGTTAGAGCATTAGAACAGTTATATTATCTTAATGCTTTAGATGATAAAACAAATCTAACTGAAATCGGTTCAAAGATTTCTGAAATACCTGTTGATCCACAATTGGCAGTAACATTAATTGCATCAATTGATTATAATGTTGTTGATGAAATATCAACAATAGTATCTTTACTTAATGTTCCTAGTATATTTTATAGACCTAAGGAACCAGAAGAAAAGTCGAAGGCTGATGCTGCAAAAGCATATTTTAATGATCATGAAAGTGATCATATTACATTATTAAATACATATAACGCATGGATAGAAAATAGAAAAGATGCAAAGTGGTCATGGAATAATTATGTTAATCAAAGAGCATTAAAGCAAGCTGAATCAATTAAAAATCAACTATTAGGTATTCTATACAGAATGGGAGTTAAACAACAACAAAAACCTATTGAAGATGTTAGAAAAAGAAAAGAAATGATTCGAAAAGCATTATGCAAAGGATTCTTTATGCAAAGTGCTCATCAAGTTAAAGGAGGGTATCAAATAGTTTGTGATAATAGAATTGTTTTGTTACATCCATCTAGTTGTGTTGGAAAGAGAGAGTGGATTCTTTATAATGAATATGTTATGACAAAAAGAGAATATGTTCGTACTGCATCTTCAATTCAACCTGAATGGTTATTTGAAGCATCTCCAAAATATTTTGCACAACTAGACAAGTTTAAAGAATCAGAAACAACAAGAGCATTAAAACGAGTGAAAAGAGCAATGAATTGATTGATTTTTTGTTATATATACAAAGATATTAATTGTTAATATAAGCATCAATGAAGTAAATTTAAAATAGAAAAAAGAAAAAAGGTTAAAAAGAACTTAAAATTTCTTACCATTAGATGTCTGCTAATCCTCAAAGAAAATATAACACTGAAGCACATGCTTTTGTCCCAAGGAATAAAAGAGCTCCAGAAGTTATTGTTGCACCACCTGGATTTCCAGTTGAATATCTTGAAATGTTCAATTCTGCAGATAATGATACAAAGAAAAGTATTATTGAACAATTTCAAAGTATTCAACAAGAAGAGCTTGAAAACAATATTATTCCAACTGATGAAGATTTGTTAGACTACAACAATAATGACATTGAACTTTATGAAGAAATTGGAGAAGATATTGACCTTCCTCAACCTCCTCAAAAAAAAATTGAAATTTCAAGAGATGATTTTGAAAAAAGTCTAAAAAATTTACAATTAAAACATGAAAAAGGTATTCCATTTGTAAAGGCAAGAGAGATAGCACAAAAAATATCAAAAATGTTAGGTTGTATTGTTTCTGGTTTAATGATAATTTCTGCTTCTAAATTTGTTCAAGACCAAATGAATAGTGATGAATATTATTCTTTCTTCTTGGCTTATTTGAACCATGCCCATCCTGAGTATTTTTCGTAACAGTGAAATTTATTTTTTAATTTAATTGTAAGAAATAATTTTTTTGTTTTTTAATTAATAAAAAAAAATAAAAGATTTCAAATTCATTTATTTCTTCATTTTAGTAATGAACGAAAGAACTACCGTCACAGTTAACACAATAATTGTTGTAATAAATAATTGTGGTTTATTAAAGTTGTAAGTTGAATCAAATGAGAGGATAGGTGTTACTTGTGAAAGATAAAGATCAATTCCAGTTCCTACAACAATAGTCGTTGATTCCATTGTACCTGGATAAGTATGAAGAGTATCAATATCAAGATCGATTTCGTTCGTAACTAAGTTTTCTTTAGTTATATTGAGATTTGATGAATAAGGAAGTTCTCCCATTTCAGCATCTTCACGTGTCATTTCAAATGGTGCTTTTGTTCCAAGTAATCTACGTGGATTAATGATGTAAATATGTTTTTGTGAATAAATAACAAATGCTTTTTGTGATACTCCTAAAGAAGAAACAGAAATTGTTGCAATATCAATAATATAAGGAATTGTTGTTGATTTTATATTAGTTGCAATTTCTGGAAGATGATAAACATCATAAGAATTTGCTTTCCAATTAGTTTCTTTTTCCCACATTTCAATTGTCAAAATAACAGTATTTTTAGGTGTATTAATAAAACATGCTGCAAGTCCTTGACTTAATACACATTCAGTTTTTAATGATCCTTGTGGTAATTTAACACTCGAAATAACTTTACCTGTAATTAATTCAGTTACTTGAATTGTATTTTCATCAACAATAATTGCTAATGATTTTAACGCAAATGGAACTTTAACACTTCTATCAATTTGAGCTTTACCAACAATACCATTAACTTCTTCTGGATGTACAGTGAAAATTTGTTTAGATTTATAATTTCTTCTTGGAACAGCAGTTTTATTATTAATTTGATAAAGTTCTGTGTTAGATGCAATAAATTTACGATCTACATTACTACCAATTGAATAAACATTATTATCAATATCTATAACAATAATTCCACCTTCAATCTTCTTTGCAACTTTAATTTTTGGAGTTTTAATAATTTTATTAGTAATAATATTTCCTGCCATATCAATAACACCAATTTCTTCTTGTAACAACTCTTTTGTAACTTTCTCTTCAGAATAAATTCGTTCATCATAATTACTAAATAAAATATATTCTCCTGTTCCTACAATTGATTTTATGAAAATTTCTTCATTATTTAAAAGAGCATAAATATTACCTGACTTTCTTATAAAACAAAAAACTCCTCGTGTTATAAGAGAGTTAACAATAATTGTATCATCTCGTTTAAAGACAATCTCTTTTGCTCTATTTAAAACAAGAATTTTACCCTTATTAATTTGAACACAAACACGTTCATTTTGTGCATCACAATCTGTTTCTGTTGCATGACCTTCTTTAATTAAATAATTCTTTGAATATGAATAATCTTTAACTTCAATAGGAGTTTGTTCTTTTATTGACAAAATACCATCTCTAGTCATAATTCCATCTTTTATTAATTTTATAACATCTTTTTGGTGTATAGAGGTTATTAATGAACCATCTCTTAGAGCTCTTTTTTCAATTATATTATCATTTAATAAATAAAGAAAATCACTAGCTTCAATGTCTTGTGTAATAGCATCAATAGTATATTCTAATTCACCTCTTGAATCAAAATAAGAGACAGAGTCATTATACAAAACAAAAACCCCAAGTGTTGAGGCAGTAATTTTTTTACCATTTTTACCAATAGTTCTTCTCCAAGCTATTTAATAATAAGAAATCGTTATTTAAAAAGTTAAATAAAAAAAATTCCTCACCAATAAAAAAAAACTAAAGAAAAGAGTTAATAAACAAACCAATATTTCCTTTAATATCACTTTTAGAAAGAATTCCTTCTTCTGATGAATAAAAGAAAATGTCTTTGTTTATTGCAACGTTATCAACAGTTCCTAATCCTTTTTTATAGTACTGATTCTCAACACGAATAGAATTAGTACAAATTGCTAATGCAATGAATATAAGAGGGTTCATCATTTTTACTTTTTAAGTTTTTATTTTTTCTTTTTTTTTTAAGACAGAAATAATAAGAATAAATTTATTGATTTTCACATAAATTCTTATACTTTAATTATTACCGTTTGGTCTTTCATTCTTTATAAGAAACGTTTCCTTTGTGTAAAATATTTCTATTCTCTCTTTAAGTTCTTTAGAGTATGAAATTTTAATAAGGTAGTTATAAGAATTGAGTAAGTGAATTTTTGGATTAGTGAGTCAGAGACATAGGACTATACTAATAACTAAAAGTTAATTAAATGGATATAAAACTCCAATTATAGTCTAATTCTTCTTAGAACCCAAAAACTAAAATTGTTATATTTTAAAAATGAGTTGCAGTCTATGAACAATATATTAATAATAATAATAACATAACTCGTAAGATTTGTGTCAAAAACCAATATTATAAATTATTTAAAAACCAAAGAAGTTGTTAAAAATACTGTTATGTTTTCTTGTTATGTTTAATGTTTTCTAAATGTCCTTTTCTTATCTATGAGAAATGAGAGTTTTTAGGGTACAGACTCTCAAATTAACTTAGTTATAATAAAGAAAAATATAAAAGAGTATTTAGAATTGATTTGAAAACTAATAATAGTTTTTTATAATTCTATTAGTATCTTGAATGGAGATTTGTCTAGATAGATTTTGTTAAATAAACTATTCTATAAATTACAAAATATCCTCAGGAAATCTACAGACTCAAATCATTTATTTGCGTTTATTTTTCATATATATTCTTATAAAACAAAAAAGTAGATTTTATTTTTTGAAAGAGTAGTAACTCTTTATATTTTTTGGACTTTATCTTCTTCAAAAACTAACGAAATTTTAATCTAAATATAGTAAAAACGTTAATCAAATTGCATTAACTAATTGATTTTTGAATTTTTAATGCCTATCAAGACCATTTGTTTTCAATTAAAATGCTACAGTTCGTTTCTATTTTTCAAATACAAGTATGACCCTATCATAATTAATTAATATTTAAAGTAACTCATTATTAATTAATCTTCATTTTTATTAGAGATAAAATATGTCAGTTATTTCTAGTCGATTAAACAAATGTTATTCATTCCAATTATCTGATAAAAATACTCGTTCTTTAGGTCTTTCATCAGAAGAAGAACAATTTCCTCATTTTAGTAGTTATCAAGCTCCTCCATTACCAATATCTTTTTCTCAATTAAATCATAAGTTTTATCATTCTTTTAATAATGGTTATACTCAAATATCATTATTTAAAGTTATTTCTCCATTGAAAAAGAAGAAATCACAAGAAGATTCATTAAGGGAAATGTTTTTTTCACCAAAAAATACTCTTTTATATTGTTTCTGTGATTCAGTTTGTTAATTTTTTAATTTTTTTTGAAAAGATTTATAAAAAATAAGAAAAGAAAATTATTTTTACTTATTAATAAAAGATTTAAAATTAATATATAGTTATTAAAACAAGATGTTAATGTTAGTTATATTAGATGTTTAATTAACTTTTATGCATCTCGTGGAAAGGTGATTGAATTATTAGAGACTATAGCTTTCAAAGAGATTGATGAAACATCTTATTGTAATGAATTATTTAGAGGAAATACCCCATTTATAAAAATTTTTAATAATTATACTTCTAAATTTTGTGATGAACTTTTAAAAGAAGAGTTTAAAACTTATAGTGATATTCACATAAGTCAAACTGAACATATTTTAAAAGAAGGAACTTGGGTAGATAAAATATCAACATCTAAAAATGTTATTCATTTATTAACAAAATTTCTGATAAAATGTTCTTCTTATATACCATCTCATTTTAAAACAATATTAAGAAAAATATATCATAGGGTGGCTCAAAACCGTTCTATAACTGAAGCCAGAAATACATTTTTAACATTATTTTTTTTAAGATATTGTTTTAGACCATTTTCAAAAGTTCCTTCCATTCTTAAAATTCTTCATGAAGCTGTTCATCGTTGTGTACAAGAATCAAAATATTCTATTGATTCTAATAATATTGAACTTCGAACTGCAATTAATTCATTATTAAGTTATATAACTAATACTCCAGATGGATCAAGTTATGGATTGATTAATATAACTATGCAAGAAGTTTCATTAGAACAGATGGTTAATATTTTTAAAACTGAAATGGGTACCATAAGCAAATTTTATAATGGGGATTTTAATGAAATATTTAATATTGTTAAGGGAAAATATGATGGGATTCAATCTATTAATCCAGAAATGGCAGTTTCTCGATTAAATACTTGGGAAGAAGAGAAATTAAGTTTAGCATCTCAATTGAATAGCCAATTGAAACAACAGATTAAAAAACTTAAAAAGTATAATAAAATATTAAAAAATAGAATTAATACTTTGACTGCTCTTTGTAATTAATGGTTATGAATTTATTTTATTTATTATTTTTGTGAAGTATATTCAAAGATAGCACCTCAGAGATAATACTACACAGTTCCCTAAAATATTTCCATTCTTTGACCCCAGTTATATTCTGATTGTGACGTTGCATTTGGTTGAAAAATATTTTACTCAATACTATAAGAATAGTAGTGTTTATTATTTACAATGATAGGATGTCGTTGATAATAAAAAAATGGGTGTTTATAAAGATGTTATTATTACTTGTTAGAATACAAGTATATTTGATAATATAGGATTATCAATGGAAAAGGGTGTGGTGGTTGATGCTAAAAAGAATATTAGCCCAAAGCAATATAGTGGTAATTATATACTCTCCTTAAAATAAGAAAATAAAGAAGTTTAATACTCACCAAAATCAAAAAGAAATTAAATAATGAATATTTAAATAATAGATATTTAAAATATTTTATTGTACATCAAATAAATGAGAAAATGAAATTCTCACATCTAATAACTAAAATCAAAGAATAAAATAATAAATGTTGAATAAACACTTTTAAAGCAAAGGGATAGGATTAGTCTCCCCTGAGCAAGGAACAATAGAAATATTTCTATTAATACTTAATTAACTACTTTTTATTTTTTTTTTTGAATATATTGTAACCATAAAGCTGAACAAATTTGAAGTAATCTCACATGACTTGTTCGTAAGAAAAATAGTAATAACTTTTGGAAGAATTACCCCAATAAGAACTGTAAAATGAACTTAATATACACTGAGATGAATAATTACAATAAATTGGAAAATAAGTTGATACTTTCTAAGTAAATTAAGTTTTTAGTCGTGAACCTTTAATCAATTTTTTCATTTTGTCGAAGATTAAAGAACCATAAATCCGAAGGAAAAAGATGTCCCTGTTAAAAAATAACATTGAATAAATATCTATTCAAAATAATTATTTTATCAATCAATGAAACTAGTTGTAAAAATAGAAACGTGTTCATAATTTAGAATGTTCCTAGCCTGACTTGGTATATTTGTTCCATACAACACAAATCACTACAAAAAAAGATGTTGGAATCGAAAAGCTTCTTACATGACTTGGGAGAATTAGAAATTTAAAAACCTGACTTTATATAATCCATTGAATCTGTCAATATTATTCCTCAGTCATCCTTTGGATGTGTGCTGATTCCTTTGAAGTTTCTAATTCATTTTCTCATAGTGAGAATTCTATTCATGAAGACACACCAACTAAAAGTCCAGTTATTGCTACATCTCCTACAAGGAGGGAAAAACATACTCTTGATACGAGGCATATTAAGAATAGAAAGTGTATTCAAGAAGCTGTGTTAATAGGTATTCTTAGTAGACATTGTTCTATTGTTTATGAACGTCCAAAGAAAAGATCTAGTTTAACTCATCAGTTGTTTAAAATCAAGGCACTAATTTTTGATAATGAATATTTTAATGTCGAAGAATTTCTTGAAAGACAAACTAGAGGTGTTTATGAAAATGCTATAGAAACTGGATTAAATAAAAAGAATGCAACAAGGAGATTAGAAAATGAAAAAGTTGTAATTCTTCTTGATTTTCTTGTAGACATTTGTCTTAATCTTGGTTATTTCTTTGAAACAACTAGAATGAGAAATCCATTAGCTCGTACTAAAGTTGATTTTGTTGAAGCTGTTTATTATAAAGGTAAATTAGTTATTGATGATGAGTTAGTAAAAAAAGCTGGTTCATTAATATCTACTCATTTGTTCTCACTTACTACTGCTTCTGAAAAAGAATGTACTGTACAAAAAGGTGATGAAAATATTAAATCATTCTTTTACAGACGTCCTGTGTTTAAACCTTCACCAATCTTTAATGCCAACAACATGTCAATCACTATTTAATAGTTGTTAATTCATATTCACTTTTCATTTAGTTTCATAATTTTTTATTATTGTATTTAAAATTGTTTTCTCAAACTTTGGAAAATTTGATGTTACTTGATTTTTTCATAATTTAGAACATTCTTTTTATTTGTTATTTTCGTATTAAATTTCTCTTTATAAATACTTCATTTCCAAATAAAAGTTATTGAAAAAAACTCTAATAACTTTTTTTTTTACTTTCAAAAAACAAAAAATATCTTGAATAAATTAAATAATTATTTTCTTTTTTGTTGTTATTGTTATTTTGATTTTAGAAAGTTTAAAATAATAACTTTTATGGATAAACTCAAAAGAATCAAACTTATTGTCATGCTTATTTTACTATTACCAATCTTATTACTTTGTCACGCTGACAGTGATGCACAGAAATACACTATTTACAGCAATATTCTTAGTCAAGACATAGAATATTCTGTATACAAACCTGATGGATATTCAGATGAAATTAAATATCCAATAGTATATTTACTCCATGGAATGGATGGTGATTGTCAGAGTTTTTATCAATGTGGTATGAAAGAAATTCTTGACGAATATATTAAAAATAAAACAATTCGACCAACATTATTTGTTACACCAAACGCATTTAATTCATTCTATGTTGATAAATATGATGGTACTTTTAATTATGAAAAATTCTTCTTTGAAGAATTTATTCCAACTGTTGAAAATTTATTTTCTGTTGATACCAACCAATCAAATAGAGCTATTGCAGGTATATCAATGGGTGGTTATGGTGCTGCTCTTTATTCTTTAAAACACAAAAAATTATTTTCTGCTTGTTCTCCAATGAGTCCAGCTTTATTACCAGAAAATACCTTAGAATTATTAGGAGATGATAATGACATTAAAAAACTTCTTTTATCAGTTTTTGGTAATGAAGAGTATTTTAAACAAAATAATTTTAATGTTATTGTAAAATCATCATCTAAAGGTACATTCACTATGCCATATCGTGTTTGTATTGGTAAACAAGATTACTTGTATCAATTTGTTATTCCTTCAAAAACAATTATGGAAAATGCTGAAATGAATAATTATTGGTACACAGGAGATGGAAGTCATGATGTTGACTTCTGGAAGAGTCAAATTCCTGACACACTCAAATTTCTTGATCAAAAAGTTTTAGATAACACAGACAGTAGTGGTACCATTGATAATGGTATTATTTCTTTGATTTCGGTAATGTCTTTAATTCTCTTTTTGATAATTTAAGATAAAAATCATTAATCAAAAAACAAATTAATTATTTTTAGGTTTCATATAATAATAAGATTTTTTCTGTTTAATTTTTAAATGAATTTTGATTATCACTACTTTCTTATATTTTTTGGGGGAACTATTTTTTTCTTTATTTGATAAGAAGTAATAATTAAAATATGTCTAGTTCAGTGTATCCAACATTATTCAATAACAGAAAAGAACCAATACCAGAACAAAATGAAAATGAAGTGTTAAATATGATATATAAGAAAGCAGAAGAAATATTGTATTTACAACAAGAATTTATTAACTCAAAAAAAAACCAACTTCAATCCCTAGAAAAACAATTAGAAGAAAATAAATTAAAACAACAAGAAACTACTGACTCAATTAGAAAAAGTTTAGAATGGCAAAGAAAATCTAATGAAAATTTAGAACTTAAGACCAAATTAGGAGATGCAGTAAGTTATGAAATTAATCAAAAGAAACTTTTTAAAACAAAACTTGAAATAAAAGAGAAAGATTTAAATAAAGAATATCAAAAATATCAGTATGAGATATCTAGATTTAATCAACAATTGATAAAACACTTTTGTATTATGAGAGAACTCAGTCTAATTTCTTTTATTAGTTGTAAAAGATCATTATATACTGAATCTATAGAAATTTTTTATGAAAAAAATTATATCGAACAATCAAGTAATGAAAATGCAATGTCTGATGAATCTCATAAACCTTGTTTTGAGAAAAGATTATTTGAAACGTGTAAATCATCAAATAAAAGTAATCCTTCAAAAAAAGTTGAAGTAACTAATCAATTAACTCAACCTTCATTTCAAAAGAAAAAATTTGAAATTCCTCATTCATCATCAAATAAAGCTTCTCCTCCAATTCCACTAAAGCAAACAAATAAATCAAATCATCCTCCTCTTCCACCTAAAGTGAGAGTGTCTAATCAAGAAAGAGAATTAACACCATTGCAAAAAGAAATTATAAAAAAGAACACTACTACTTTAGATAAAATTGTTAATGTTTTTAGTGAAGACACTATCCGTAAAGGGTTAAAAATTTATACTGATGTCTCTAAACAAGTCAATGATACCGGAGCAACTCCCTATGTTAGAACAGTTACTCACACTATTGGCAAAGTAACTGATGTAGCAAAAGAGATTCCTATAATTAGAAGAGTAGCAAAACCATTACACTATTGTGTTAAAACACTTGAAGGAGGTAGTATTGCTTTGCAACATGAGCAAGATGTAAATGAATATTTAGATAATTATATTGCTGAATATAGGAAAATTGAATCTGGAGGGGGTACTGCTTATGCAATCTCTCAAACAACAATTAAGACGACATGTAGTGTTTGTGAAAATATATTATTTCCAATGTTTGTTCCATTCTATGATTAAATGAGAATAAAAATATGTTTTTAGTTTTCTTAATATTAAAAACTAAAAACTTAAAAAGTGAATTGGTAATGAAAATAACTGAATGGGTTATCTTACTTTTTTCTGTTTCATGTCTAAGTGAAAATATAATTTGTTCAAGTCCAATGCATATACAAAACAAAAAAGGAAAAATCTTTTTTCGTAATGGCTGTAATATTCAGACGATTAATAACTCAAGTATGGAGTTTATAGGAAATGGAGTAATTAAAAAAGTTATTCATTCAAAAATAGTTTCTCAGAACTATTTTATTTCTATATTTGAAAGTGAGTTTTCCTCTATAGAAATTATTAATGGTCTTCTTCTTATTGGATCTAATGAAAATAAATCAAATAATATTTCATTTGCCGAAATTACTTTAGTTAATTCTTCTCTTTTATTCTCTAATACTACTACTGACTCCATTATTAATATAAATACTTTAAATATTTATAGTAATGTTAGTTTAAAAGAAATAATTATAGGAGATAGTTATGACTTAGAAATTCATAAACTATGTATTGTTGGAACACCAGTTATTGCTTTTAAATCATATTCTGTATTTTTAAAATGGTATAATACTACTTCAATTTGTGGTTCTTATAGAAGTTTACAAAATAAAAATCAAATTATTTATTTTCAAGAAGGCTCATATTTTGAAACTCAAAGTCAGATTCAGTGTATATCAAGATGTTCTAGAAATAAAATTTGGTTTGGTAAATTGATAGAAACAGAAAGAAATTTATGTAATTTAAATAATCAAGTTAGTAAAGTTGAATTAAATTGTAATATAATTTATAATACCTCTATATTACAAGATATTATTTTTAACTCTAGTCTAATTATTAGAAAAGGATTATTACACCATGTTCATGGTATTCACATTCATCAACTTTTATTACAATCACCAGATATATCATATATAGAATTCACTAATGATACAATCAATAGTGTTATTATTGATAACCCTAAAATACATATTTCTCTTCATTCTACAAAAATAACTACGTTTCAATCATTTAATTCTTACATTAATTTTTTTGATAGTTCTTCATTAATTCAAAGACTTGAATTGTATAATTCTACATTAATAAATAAAAACGTAACATCATTTATAAATGAAGTTATTTTCTTTTTTGGAAATTCTTCATTTAACATAGATGGATTTATTGTTGATATAATGAGAATAGAATCTCTTTATAACACTTCATTTTTTAATGTTTCTAATATTTACACAAAATCATTAACAATTAATTCTCTTTCAATAGATTATCTTGTTAATATTACTTCAAATCTTGTCACATTAATATACTCAAAAATTAAAACTAAAATAAAGAATATACATGCACAAACAATTGAAATAATTCATTCGTCTATACATACTTCAGAAAAACTAAAGTATAATAAAATGTTTGTTGTATCTCTAATACGCAATGTTTTTACTAATAATTTTCTTGAAAGTAATTTTATGTTTTTAAATTCTAACTCATTACTTATTGATTATATCAATTTTCACTATGAAGATTCTTTCCATTCCATATTAAATAGACCAAATAATTTATACTATACTAATTTTGACTCTATTAACACTAATACAGTATCAGAAAACTTATTACTCTTTTATCAAAACCAATCTCAATTATTTGCGTCATACTCTAAAAAATATATATTTCAACCAAAAATAATGCCAAATTCTAAAACAACTGAATTATGTCTAAACCATAGTGATATAACTATAAATAATAATACCATTGTTATTAATTTATCTAATTCAACTTTAACATTGACTGAAAACACTACTATTAAAATAAATAAAGGAGTTTCAAAAATCTTTATTCATACTAGGAACCAAATTACTTTAACTTTTCAAAGAGTTTTATGCTCTTCTTCTGTTTATATTCATCCTCTTGATTATTCTAAACCAACAATTATTGTTATTGATGCAGAAGAATCATGTTCTGATAAGATTTTTATTTCATCATCTATTCCCCTTATTTTATCACCAATATCAACACCAAAAATAAAAATAAACTGTGGTTTGCTAGCTATATCATCAGCTTCATTAAGAGATTTGATATCGGAAGATCCTTATGATTATGACCTATTTTACTCTTTTTCTGAACTTAAAGAGAATAGATGTCCTCCATTTATTTGTATTTCTTCTAATGGAATTTCTATTTCTTCGGATGGTATTAATATTAAATGTTCTAATGCCAATAAATTTACTTCTGATGGTTCTAGTGTTTATATTGATAGAATAGACTCTTCTCTTTATGGAGTATTTAATGATGTTATAGTTTCAAACAATGTTCAAACAATTAGTTGGGTTGGGTTGAGTATCGATTCTAATTCATACGATATTTCATACATAACAAATTTAAGAGTAGCACCAAAAACATATTTTTCTATAAGAAAACTTAATCTTCATATAACAAAAATGTATGGAACAGAAGTATCATTATCTCTTATTGAATCTACAATTGAATGTACAACACAAGCTTCATTTCTTTTATTAAAATTAGAAGATTTTTCTAAATTTAAATCTAAAGGTTTAGACATTCAGAAATTAGTCTCTTCATTTGGTACTTTTATTACTTCAGAACGTCTTACAGTTAACATAATAGAATACTCCCTAGATTGGGATAAAAGAAATAATAACCCTATGATTAAAATTTCTTCTTTAATACTGAAGAATGAATCTCTTATTAATTGGATTGTATTAGATTCTATTGTAACAACAAAAGAAACAATTCCATTATTAGTTGTTACAAATGGTATTCAATACCAACAACCAACATTTAGTTTTATCCACTGTGATCAAAAGGTATTATTTACTTCTGGGACAAATCAACTAAATGGTATAAAATGTACATTCTTTGGAATACATAAGACATGTGTTTTAATTAAAGAAAATGCAGACTTGTTATCTTCTTACGATATGTTACAAAGTAGTGCCTTAACTTGTCCATGTACTTCAGACAGCCTTGAAGGATGTACCATTGTTATCAAAACGAGTTCTGTTCATGGAAATGTTAATACGAATAACTTGGAAACAAACATTATAACGTCATTAAATTTAAAATCATTATGGATAGATGATACTTTGTTTGCCTTTCAAAACATAACAATTAATTCTGACTCAATTTATATTAAATCTATTCAAATTCCAGAAAGTAGATGTGTATCAATATTTTCTAATTGTAAAATAGGAAGTATTTTAGGGAATGGGGAGTTTGTAAGTTCAAGAAAGGTTGATGTGGACACTGTTTATCAAACAAGAATGATAGTAAATAATATAAACATTAATAAACTTTTCTCTCCTTCCTTTGTTCTTTTAAATAATACAAAAATTGAACTCCTAAATGGTAGCTCTTTCTCAATGAAACGAGGGGTTCTAGAATATATTCATCAACTAGAATCACCAATTAATTATCATTCAAGAGAATCATTCACAATGTATTTAACAAAACCCATTAATTTTCCAACGAATACATGTTTTGAACTTGCAGAATTCAAAACAATACCACAAACAATCATGATTAGTTCATTTTTTCCAAATACCTTTAATTTAGAAATTGCATGTAAAAATAAAGTCATTGTTTGTAATAATCCAACAGCTCTCTTTGAATGTGGAATTCAAAAATGTATTGTTACTCATCCTGATGAACCTTTAGACTCTAGTAAAGCTTATGATACTTTAAATTGTCCATGTGGTTTCAAAGAAGTGCAAACCAAATATAGTCATGAGTCATGTTTTTTAGTAGCAAAAGGTATACAAGTCTTAGAAAACATGAATGGAAACTTTCATTCAATTGAAGTAAGTGATGGTACTATTTTCATGTTAAATGACCAATTATCAATTTTAGAGTATCATCCTGTATCCAACCAAATATTTAATAGCATTAATAATTATGCTAAATTAGATATTCATATAATTGGAAATCAAATGTTTTCTATAAACCTGAACGTAGAAGCTACAGTATTTCTTAATGCAAAACAGTCAATGTTTTCTATTACAAAAAATATCATATTTGATACTATTCTAACAGACAGTATTTACATAACATCTTCAGCAATGTTGACACTCCCTAGTAATGTTCCAAGCAATTTTATGATTAATATTACTAATCAACATATTAATATTCCAAATGGTATTGAATGTCTATCAATGATAATTTATTCCAACTTCTTTGAAAGTCCATTATTTATCATTGGAAATGAAAAGCCATTTAAAATGGATTCTTTTGAATTTAATGGAATAGCAAAAGGTGTAATCGTTGAAAATTCTCAAAAGAACCTTGTAAAAGTTGGTACATTAAAAAATATTTATATTGACGAGGAACAGAGATATCTCACAACAGAAGAAATACCAAAAACACGAGTTGTCTGTAGATATGATAATGGATGGAAAAGTAAGAATTGTCCCTGCAAAGGGACTTATTGTGATATAGTCATTTATTCATCTATAATAAATGAACCACTAATTAACATATCCAGATTAATTATTGAAACAAATTGTATATTTCAAGAGATGGTAGTTGCTCATTATGTTGAGTTAAATTTTAATGCAACGTTTATTGATTGTATAATAACAAATCTCAATGTTTTTAATAATGATTTAATAATATTAAGACTTAATTCTTTTGTCATCGAAAAAATTACCAGAAAAGAAACTATTCCTCTCATTATTAATTCAACAAAAGAAGGGGACATTGTTTTTCTTGAAGCTCCATTAGTTTATCTTGTTACTTGTGAACCAATAAAATTTCAACACATAACATCATCCAACCTAATTATGTATCAACAAACTAATAAAATGATTATTAAAGGAAAAAATAACTCTACTATAGAATCAGATAATATTGTTATTTTTATTTCATCAATATTACACAATTTTATCCTTCAGTCTTCAGTTATTCCACCTCTTGATGTGATATCTTTTTATAATAGAGAAAGTAATACTATAAAAAAGTTGACATTTGGATATGTTTCTGTATTATGTTTTGATTATTTGTATATCTCAAACTCTACAAAAATACCAATGTGTCCAACAGACCAACTTATAAATGAAGATGAACTAACAAACCAAAAACAATTATGGTATTTATTGTTAATACCTATACTTTTTATACTTGTTTTATTTATGATAACTACACTAATGTGTGTGTATAAGATATATCAAAGAAGAGCACAACGTCATCTTCGGTTATTTTAAATTTCAAATTATTTCTATCTATGCTCAAGTCTTTACATTAAATTAAAATACTTAAAAAGCTCTTTATACTTAGTGCAAAACAATACTTTTCTTGGAATTGTAAATTTTATTGTTGATGAAACTAACATAATTAATTGATTACAACAGTTTATAAGGCGTATTATTTAATTAATGCTCAATAAACAATTAAATACAAAATATATTTTTGTTATATATTCCATTTTAACACTTCTTTTAAAATAAAGAAAATTCAAAAAGAAAGGAAGAAGAACCAAAATGAAGAAAAAACAATCTTTTAAGATTTTAAAGATTTGGTAGGAGATCTGCCTATCACAAATGAAGTTGTTATTTATCTTGTTCATCAGTTGTGTATTTGCTATTAAATGTAAAGACTTTAAAAACATTCATAAAAAGACAGACTACGTTTTCAAAAAAGCAGACGCTGATACATATATTTATTTCAACTTGTGTGGACCAATCACCACTCAGTTTGAAGGGTATGATGCTTCTGATGTATCTGTTCTTGCTTATTTAGAAACTTATAAAGAAAAAGTTGTTTTGGGAAATACATCAACTGAATCTCTTGAACTTGTTAATGAAGGTAAAACTCTTAGATTTAGTTACAATGGAGATTCTAGCCTTCAACTATCTTCTCGTGTAGAAGTAACTTGTGGTCCAGAAGACACTTCTTCTAATATTAAGGCTCAAATTGAAGGAAGTACTTTCATTTTTTCATTTACATCTCCTGATGCTTGTCCATCAAATAAAACATTCCCAATTACTGGTCTTATTTTGTGTATTATTCTTTTTGTTCTCATTGGTCTTTACATTATTGTTACTGTTATTTTGAATATCTTTGTTTTCCATAAGAAAGGATTGGAAGTTATACCTAATTATCTCTTCTGGATTGGTCTTCCTTCACTTCTTGTTGATGGTGTTAAATTTACATTCTGTTGCAAGAAAGCTGGATCTGAATATCAGACATTTGCCGTTTAAATTGATATGCTTTTAAAGCCATTAATTTTCATTAATTTTATTTGATAAAACAGAGTAATTGACACACACGATAAGAGCAAAAGAAAATAAAAAAGTAAAAGGGTAGACCCAATAAAGATTGAGGAATGAATTTAATGAGAAATATTTTAAGTTTTTTTGTGTGAGTAAAATAAGGAACTTTAGATAAAAAAAATAGTAAAAATATTAAAAAGAAATAAAATAATATATTTATCTCTAAATAGAGTAGAATTAAACTATCTCATTATTATCATTACTCAATTTATGAATAAAGAAAGAACTATCTGTGTAATTGATTGTGATGAACTAAGCAATAAAGAAACAAAAAGTAATATAGAAAATAAACAAACGGAGTATAAACCCAAATTAAATGAAACAAAATTATCAAGAAAAAAATTTGGTGTAATTAGTCGGAACTTTTTTAATAAAACAAGAGATAAAAATACAGAACGAACATTAGAATTTATGAAAAAAAAGAAATTAGAATTAGATAAATTACAATTTGGTTCTAAAGATTAAAAAAAAGTTTTTTTTGTTTTGTTTTTGTTTGATTCTTTTAGTAAAATAAAAAGTCTAATAAACTGTTTATGAAAACTTTTAGAAAGAAAAAAACTATAAAAAGGAATTTTTGAAGAAGAATGAATGGCATTGGATGGACTATCATTCTCTTATTACTTCTTATCATTGTTAGTTTATTATTGTTTATTATATATTCAATACTATTTCAAGCACGATGGTTAATGTGGATAATTAATAAAATTAATCCAAAGGCATTATTTTATTTCTCAATTAATACAAAAATCATTGTATTAACAATTGATGACGCACCTTCAAACCAAACAGAAGAATTTTTAGATTTGTTTAAAAGATATGGAGTTCATGTTACATTTTTCATCATTGGTGAAAGAGTTAAAGGAAGAGAAGAAAAAATGAAACGGATAATTGAAGAGGGTCATGAAATAGGAAATCATACATACTACGATGAACCATCATTCAAAAATACAAAAGAAGAATTTGAGGATAAACTGAGAAGAGTTTGTTTTTTAACCGGTTTGTTAAGAAACCATTTACTCATTTATTTAGACAGATGAAGTTATTAAACCATATGTATTGAATCAAAAATATAAATGGTTTAGACCAGGATCAGGTATCCCTTCATCTTTTATGTATGACTGTCTTGAAAAATATGGATATAAACTCGTTATTGGATCATGTCATGCCTTTGATGCTCAAATTAAAAATTGTAGTTATACCTCATTTATTCTTAAACATGGAATTTGTAATGGGGATATTGTAATTGTTCATGACAGAGAATATACTTTACCTGAAGTTGAAAGTTTCTTAAAGTATTGCAAAGATAACAAAATACAGATAATGTCATTAGGGGAAATATGTAATTTTATGAGTGATCTTCAAAACGAAGAAGTAAAACCAATAATTCCTAAAACAATACCTTCACAGTCTTTTCCAACACTAGAAAGTCATTTACAAAGTCCAGATGAGTATATTCACTAAAATAAATATTTCATCAACTCTAACAAAATATTAAGAAAAACAAATTTCATCATCTTTAATAAGAAGTTTATTTTTTCGCTAAGCGGAAATTATTAAAAAAATACAAAAATCATAAAAAAAATAGAAACAGAAAGAATTATTTTAATAATAAGTAATAATTAAAATTATTAATTATTTAAACTATAATTAAAAATAAAACAGAAGACTCATCTTAAATAAGAAAAAAAAAAAAACAGAAATTATTTGAAGATTGTGAATGATCTTAAAAATCATATTTTACAATGTTATTTGTTTTATTCATTTGTGCAGCATTTGCTTTCCCATACACTGACCTTGAGTCACAAATTATTGCTAAGCGTATTACTGAATTAGGAAAAAAATTAACCAAAGCTGGAGAGGAAGTTAAAAATCATAAAGAAGAAATTGATGCCTTAATGACTAAAATCAGCAAAAATGCCATTGACTTTGCATCAGCCAATGACCAACTCACTCAACTTAATAATCAAGTTGCTGAACTTATTGCTAAAAAAACTCTTGAAACAAAAGCACCATCTGGAGATAAACTTGTTGACCTTGATAGTTTTTATGAAAACAAACAAACTGCCATTAAGAAAGCAGTAAAAAAAGCTTCTGCTGGATTAAAGGCAACTAAAAATATTAAGAAAACAGCCAAATTAGTTGCTAAGGCTAAAAAAGAACAAAAAAAAGCAAATAAACTTGCTAAGAAAGGAGATAATAAAGCCGCTAAAAAAGCTGCAAAGAAAGCCAAAAAATTAGTTGCTAAAATTGAAAAGAAACAAGAGAAACAAGTCCAAAAAGCTGAAATTAAAAAGGCAGAGAAAAAAGTTGCTAAAATGGAAAAGAAGACTCAACAAAAAGCAACAAAAAAAGCAGAGAAAATTGTTAAAAAACAACAATTAAAACAACAATCAACTAAGACAGAAAATAAATATAAACAAGCTCTTGGAAAAAAACCAGTATCACAATCTCTTAAAAAAGAAGCTAAGGCTGCTGCTAAAGCTGCTTATGAAAAAGTTATGAAAAAATATTCCAAGAAAATTGCTAAAAGTGCAGATAAAACTAAGAAAGACGGTAAAGATGCCTCTCACTCTACTAATGTAATTAAAGAAGCTAAAGAAACAAAAGCTTTATTTGAAACTGCTAAAACTAAAGCCAAAGAAGCTGCCAAAGCTGCTTATAGAAAGACTATGAAAAAAGCAGCAGTTAAACCAACTTCATCATGTAATAAAACCATTATCATAACACCAGTTGAACTTGTTTTCCCATTTAGTACTAATCCAAGAATTAGAAACGCTCAAATACTTATGAACCAAAATTGGGCTAAACTTCTTAAACAAAAATGGTCTTTGAACTAAGCAAAACTTTCTTCTTGTTTTTTTAATTTTTATTACTTTTAATAGCAAAGTCAGAGAAAGACATAAAAGTAATTTTTCTGTTTTTTAATATCTCTTTTCTCTTTTAGCAAAGAACATCTATCTAAAAGGCAACTATTTCTTCTGCATTAAAAGTATATCTAACACTACTAGTAATATTCGAAAGATATTTAAATAATAATGTTTTAGTAAATTGACAGCAATTACAATACTTTGTTAGTCATATAGAGTATCGTAATTGTTAATTCTTAGAGACAAGTAAAGTCTAGAATAAATATGACTTGTTTTGAAAAGTTTAGATATCAGCAACTAATAAACTAGCAATGGCTTTGAGAGTTCTCAGTTCTTTTCAATAAATTAGAACCAATTTCAAGAGGTCCATTTGAAAAAAAGAGAGTAAGCTTGAGTAAATTGATGTTAAAAACTAAAAATAGAAATATAAAAACTATTTTGAATTGTTGTTTGGATATATTCCACACAAAAAATAACATGGAGTTTCCTAATCTCCTTTGATTGGATTTGTGGTAGAATATAACATTACAAATTCGAACTTCGAATGAAGTTAAATCAGATATCGTTATAAATACAAAAAGTTGTAGTTATGAATTGAATAAAAAATAAATAGATCAAATATTTTGTTTTTATCATTTTATTTTTCAATTTAATCAATTCATTTGATCTAAATATTCATAATGTTTACACTTTTATTGCTTATCTCATTTAGTTTTGCTTTACCTTACTCAGAACAAGAAGAAAAAGTTATTGTTGATAGAACTAAGAGTGTGGAAAAGTCTTTAAAAAAGGCTATTAAAGAAGTTGATCAAAAGAATAAAATTATAGATAACTTAAAAGAAACTATTGATAAAAATGCATCTAAAGATGGTGCCCACGCTCATCAAATTATTCTAAACCAACAATCTAAATTACTTAATAAAGTAGAGGAATCAACCAAAGCACCAGCTGGAGATAAAACTATTAACTTAGACAAACTTGGTGATGACAAAAAAGATAAAACTAAAGTAGTTGTTAAGAAAGCTGCTTCTAAGAAAACTACTAAAAAAGTTGAAACTGCTAAAAAAGAAGTGAAAAAAGATCAAAAAAAAGCTAAAAAATATGTTAAAAAAGCAGAAAAGATTCAAAAGAAAATTGTTAAAGCACAAGAGAAAGGAAAAACAGAAAAAGTAACTGAATTACAAAGTAAATTTAATAAAACTATTAAAAAAGCTGCTAATGAAAAAAAGAAAGCTAAAGCTGCTAAAAAACAAGTGAAAGAATTAAAATTAAAAAGTCAAGCACTTAAAACTGAAAACAAATATAGAAAACAATTAGGAAAAAGTGCCTTAAAACCAAAAGAACCAGTTAAAACTACCAATACCAAAAAAGCCACTCCTGCCCAAATTAAGAAAGAAGAAAAAAAAGCTACTAAAAAGTTAGTAAAGAAAGTTAATAATTTAAAGAAAGCTGTTCAAGTTAATGTTAAAACTGCTTCAGAGTCTTGTCCAAAGAAAGCTGCTAAAGTTGAAGTTATGACAGAAAAGGCTGCCTTATTACATAAAAAGGCATTAGGAGAATTAGATAAAGGAAACAAAAAAGCTGCAATAAAATTAGCTACACAAGCATCTACATTAGCAGATAAAGCCGTCGCTGTTCAAAAAAAAGTTGTTGCAAGTGTACAAAAATCAGTAAAGAAAGATGAAAAAAAGAAAATTGCTGCTAAAGCAAAAGGAGAAAAAAAAGAGATCAAGAAAGATGTTAAAAAACAACAAAAGAAATTAGACAAAGCAAAGAAAGAAGTTGCTAAAGCTGAAAAAAAAATTCAACAAACCACAAGCAAAACAACTCAAAAAAAACAACAAAAGAAATTGGCTCAGGCTCAAAAAAAAGTTGTTAAAGCTCAAAAAAATATAAAAAAAGATAATAAAAAGATTGCTAAAGTTGAAAAGAAAGCTGCTAAGAAAGTTACAAAAGTTGAAAAGAAAGCCACTGTTAAGAAAGCCAGTACTAAGAAAACACCAACTATGAAAAAATTAGAAAAGAAAGTTGTTAAGAAAGGAATTAAAACCAATAAAGATATTGGAGGTGTAATTCCAAGATCTCTTGCTTTTGGAGTTATAAAAGAATCTCAAGGATTTGTTAAGAAAGCTGAATGCCCTCAAATGGTTATGGCCCGATTAGCACAAAAGGCACACTTAAGTCCAGTTATTCTAAAAGCACAAAATAAATTAGCTGAGAACCAAGTTAAGATTTAATCCTTCGTTTTTCATTAAAATTTTTTTTGTTATTGATTAAAATTTTTTTAAAAGAGTTAATTAAAATAAAACTCATTAGATTTAAAAAGGATATTAAAAAGAAACACTACTGCAACAATTAAATCTTAAACTATTAAAAACAATTAAAATTACTTTTTCTTCCTTCTATTTTATTTGAATAGTAAAGTTTTAATATAAAAAAAAAGAAAAAAATTTTGAGGTAGAAAAGTCACATAAGAATACAAAGAAAATGTTTATGGTGTGAAAATAATAGAAAAATAGATTAAATTCGAAGAAAAAAAAAGATAATGAAAAACCTGAAATATAGGAGTAAATACATATATAAAAAATGGTACTTAAGCAAGTTATATAGAACTGAAAAAACTATAATGTTCTTCTTCTTATTGTTAATATCAATTGCAATTGCTGCTCCAGCTGTTGACACAGGAAAACAAAATGGAATTGAAGTTAGTAAGAACAAAGCTAAGGCAGTAAATAATTTGAGAAAAGCTGAAACACTTAAAGAGAAATCCATTAATGCTAAGTCATCAGGAAATAAAGTTATTGCCAAAGATTTAAAGAAAGAGTCAAATAAACTTGTTAAAAAAGCTGTTAAAGAACAACAAAAAGCTATTGTCGCAACTAAGAAACAAGTAAAAAAAGCAGTAAAAAAACAATTAAATAAAGCCTCTAAATTAATTAAACAAGCTAAAGAAGCTAGAAAAGAAGAAAAAGTTGCTAAACAAAATGGAAATATTCAAGTTGCTGCTCAAATGAAAAATGTGGCAAGTTCATTAGTTAAGAAAGCTGTTAAAAAACAAGTTAATGCTATGAACATTGCTAAAACTAAAGTTATTAAGAAGTCAGAAAAAAAATCTGTCAAAAAAGCTGTTAAAAAAGCAATTAAATTAGAAAAGAAGGCAGTAAAAGATGCTGCTAAAGGAAATATTAATAAGGCCAATAAAGAAGTTGCTCAAGCTAAAAAAATTGTTAAAAAAGCAGGAAATAAAGCAACACTTAAAGCTAAGAAAGTAACAAAAGCTGTTAAATTTGCTAATAAAGCTATAGTTACAGAAAAGAAAGTAGTTAAATCACTTCTTAAAGGTAATGTTAAAAATGCTCTTAAACAAGTTAAGAAAGTTCAAAAACAAATGAAGAAAGCACAAAAATCACTTGGAACTAAATCTAAAAAAGTTATTGCAAAGAAAGATGCAAAGAAAGCTGGTAAATTAATTAAGAAATCAGCTAAGACAGAAAAGAAAGCTATTAAAGCTGTTACAAAAGGTAATACTCGTAAAGCTCAACAACTTACTAAAAAAGCAGTGAAAATTGCTAAGAAAGCTGTTGCAAAGATTCCAAAAGGAAAGTCATCAAAAAAAGTTGCTAAGGTAATTAGAAAAGTAATTACACTTGAACAAAAAGCATCCAAAAAAGTATTTAATGGAAATAAAAATGTTGCTAAGAAAATGATTAAAAAGGCAGTTAAATTATCTAATAAAGTAATTAAAGCAGCTAAGAAATTAACTGGAAAGAAACCAGTAAGTAAAGAATCTATTAAGAAAACTGTAAAGAAAGTAGCTAAAAAACAAACTAAAAAGCAAGCAAAGAAACAAGCTAAAAAGGTTGTCAAAAAAGCTGCTAAGAAACAAGTTAAGAAAATTGTTAAAAAGATGTTTAATACACCAGTTGTTAAGAAATACGTACCAGAAAAACCAAGATATTATAGACCAACAAAGTTTGTTACTCCAGTTGAATCTAATGCTGGAGGATTTGTCCAACCTTTGAATTCACCATACACCGCATGTTCTCGTTATGCTCATTAAAATATTTCTTTTCTTCAATATCAATGTTTTTTTTTTATTTAATTTTTAATAAATTAATTCATTTATATTTTTATCTATATTTTAATATTTTAATGGTTTATTTATGTTTATAATCTTTGAATACTTTTGGAGCTTAATAAATTAAAACTTTCTTTATTACATTTTGCTGATTGAAGTTGTAAATTTTTATCTAAACACTTTAACACAAATTCGAACAAAAAACATAAATTCAGAATAATTTTTATAATTACTTTTATGTCATGGAACCTATAAATATGAATAGTTAAATAGAACAAATATTTTTATTGAAAGTTAATGTTGGGATTGTGTTTAATGAATGTTTTTCATTTATTAAAATAATTTGTTATTATATTTTCTTAATATAGATTTTATGTTTTTTTTTATGAAATTCAAAAATCTTAAAGTTGAGAAAAATCAATAATTATTTTTAAAAAAGAAGAAAAAAGAAAAATCAACTAAAAAATAAATGTCAAAAAAAAAAGAAACTCATAAAAAAAATAAATATAGTTAAAATTTAATTAAATTATATCAAATATAGAAAGAAACTGAAAAAAAAAATAACTGAAAAATCATACTATCAATGAGAAGCATTGTATTCCTTACATTTGTTCTCCTCACTTTTGCTACTGAGGTAATCAGAGTAGATCCATATATTTCACATGAAGACAGAAGAAAATTAGAAAAGAAAGCTGAACAAAAATTTGCTGTTGAACTCTTAAAGGCACGTAAACATCAAGACCATTTAAAACAACATATCAAGAAACAGTTGTCCGTATTAAAGGCAAGAAGAGAAACTTATCAAAAGGTTCGTGACTCAACTATAAACGAAAAGAAATCAGTCTCTAATGAAATTGCACAACTTAATGCCCAAATTAAAGCACTTGACCTTGAACCAGCTAAAGCTCGTTTAGAAGCCAAAAAGAGTAATTCTACTGAATCTACTGCAGATAAAAAAGTGTCTGATGCTATTAAGAAAGCTACTGCAGATAAACTTAAATTAAGCCATAAAGTTACACACAAAACTTTAAAAGTAGAAAAAATTGCTAAAAGACTTCAACACTATACAAGAAAGCTTTCAGAAGCTGATAGAGATTATAAAAGAATGGAATATAAACAACAAAAGTTACATGCTAAAATTGCTACTACTAAGAAAGACATTGAAGCTAAAAAGAATCAGTATATCAAAAGAGCATTAAGACAATTAGAAAGAGTTGCTAGAGTATCTGCTATTAAACACATGATTAAAAAGATTGAAAGAGAACTTGATCAAGTAGAAAATGAACAAGAAAGAAAAAAATTAATTAACAAACAAAAAACTGCTGTGACTATGTTAAAGAGAATTGAAGCTAGAGTTAACATCCATAAATTAAGAAAGTCACAAAGAAAAGCTAGATGGAATCATATTGCTAATGTAATTAAGAGTATGAATAATTATAAAAAAGGATGGAAGTATGATCAAAAACTTAGAATGTTAGAAGTTGCTAAAGCTGTTACTGCTGTTAATGCTATCCAAAAAAGAATTAATACATTAATTCATAATGCCAAAAAAACAGGAAAGGTAGATGCTATGGAATTAAATAAACTTACTGATAAAAAGAATGCAGCAATGAACATTCTTGAAAAGGCTAGAAGTTCACTTGAACTTTTTGAAGAAAAAGGAGAGAAGACATTAAGAAATTATAAGTTAAGAATTTTGAGATTAAAAATGGCTGATGCAAAGATTAGAATCACTGAACACCAATTATCTAAAGACGCAGCTAAAGTTACTAAGAAAGAGTTCTTAACAAGAATTGATAAATTAAAGAAACTTCAAAAAAGAATGGGATTATGTCCATTAAATAGATTAAGAATTAAAAGAAGATTAAGAGTCTATAAAAAAGAAGTTACAATCGCTACTAGAAAGATTAGAAGAAATAACAAAAGAATCCATTCATTAAAAATTCGTGTAGAATCTATTGAAAGAAGAATTAGATTAATTCAAAAGAAGAGAATTGCTAAGATTGTAAGAAAATTAAATCATTTAAAAGGAAAATTAAATGGAGTTAGACATCAAATTATGGCAGTTAGAGTTAGAAAGAATTCAACTCAAAAAGATATTTTAATGGTCAAAGTAAGAACACTTCAAAATATTGAAAAACAGTTAAAGAATACTATTAGACGATTTGTTAAAAGAAATGGACATGTTATTAGAAAACTTGAACAATTAAGAAAAGCAGAACTTGAAGCAGCAAGAAAGTATTATAAGAACAAAAAAGCTATTGCTAAGAGAATGAAGGTTCTTATTAATAGGTTAAGAGTTAAAGTTGCTATCTTTAAGAGAAAAGTTAGTAGATGTAAGAATTCACCATTCAAACAAGTTAGAGTTATTAGATTAGTAAAGAAATATGTTAAGAAATTAGAAAAAGCTATTGCATCAAGAAAGGATATGAAATTAAAGGTTAGCACTGCACGCTCTAGATATATTACACTTAGAACTAAAGCTATCAATAGACTACATACTAGAAGATCAGAATTATATGCAAGACAATCATGGTTATTAAGTGAATTGAAGGCTCTTGCTAAGAGAGAAACTGATATTCATAACACAATCAAAAAGACTACTGTCTTAAAAGCTATGAAAGGACTTTACAAAGAACTTTCCTTTATTAGAAAGGAAGGAAAGAGAGTTCAATTGAAATTATTCAAGGTTGTTAAGAGAATTCAAAAAGTCAATCAATTATTCTTTAGACATAATCAATACACTGCCATTAAAAGGGCAAAAGCTGTCTTTAAGAAATATAACAAGAAGTTTGTTACCTTTGAAAAGAAAAAAGCAGCCCTTAAGAGAAAGATGGCTGTTTATCAAGCTGAACAAAATGAAATTTTCAAAAAACAACCATATGCTGTTAATAAGAATGCATTGAATGATAGACTGAGAATCGTCAAACAAGCTATATCTGATATTGAAGCTGATTTTGCTACTGTTCAAAAACAAGAAAAGAGAGTTATTGTTAGGTCTTTGAAATTATCACATGAATATGATGGGTTGTTAAAGGTTAAACTTTCAGACCTTAAAATTAGACTTGCTGCTAAACAAAAGGAAAGACCAGTTGTTTCTAAGACTGCTCTTTATACTATTGATTCAAATAAACAAAAGCATGCTGTTAGAAGACTTAAAGTTATTGATGCCAGCATTGAAGAACTTGATAATTCAATTGAAAAGACCATTAGAAAGATCAAGAAAACTCATTTCAGAATTGGAAAGTTAAAGGCTGCTCTTCATCCAGAAGGAAAGAAATGCAATAAACAAACTGATTGTAAGATTTGTAGAAAACTTGGTAAAGTTGCCAAATATGGCATTGTTCATCATGAATCAGATTCTATTATCATTAATAGATTAAGAAGTGTTTGTACTAGAATTAACGCTGATAGACAAAAAGAGTGTTATCATCAAGCTATGAATATGGCTATGAAAGCTCTTCATACTTTTGATCCATCAAAATTCGTTGTTAGTGAAGTGTGTTCTTCTCTTGGAAAATGTTAATCCAAATTTTTTTAACATTTATTTTTTTAATATAATTGTTTTTCCTATACTAGAATAGCAAATTTTGTTTATTATATCATAAATCCTTGAAAAAAAAACCAACTACGGTATAAATGCTCAAGAGGATATATGAGAATGATAAAACAAAAATAAAATGTATAAGAGTCATAAAGAAAAAGTGATTTAAAAAGAAAAATAAGAAAGAAGAAATAAATAAGAAATATTTGTGTAGATGTAATGATACAAGGATAGTACCAATAAGTAATATAGAATATTAACAAAAAATGAAGTTAAAGTGAAAACAAGAAAATAATAAATAAATTGAAAAAGAAGGATACGAAGAAGTAAAAAAGGGTCAATAGTAGATTATCAACAACATGAATTTTATGAATATTGAGAAATGTTTGTTTGAGTTTCTTTAATACATTCTAATTCTATCACAGAATTCATTTAAAATATGTTTTGTTTATAATATTATTCTAATGTGTTGTTAGAAGTTACTGTATAAAATCCTCATTCTTTCATGTTTTTAATAAAAGTGTTTGTGATTTGTTGTTGAAGTATATTATAATTTTATATCTGTAATATTCTTATTGATTCATTGTGTATTGTTTTATTGTTAATATTATTAGTTATTTCCACATATTATTTGTTTGTTTTAATTTCTATTTAATTCATTATAATTTCAATTAGGTTCTTTCATTATATTTTCATTTACTTGCATATTACATTTATTAAATCATGAAAATTATTCTTCTTATAAAACCTTTCTTCATTCTTTTCATTATTCCACTTAAATACTCTTTTATTACTTCTCTCTTTTCTTTTATTTCTTATTTGTTTATTTGTTCTTTATTTTGATACTTTTCATATCTCAATTTGTACTTTAATATGAATTCATATTGAAATATTTATGAAGAAAAAATGAATTAACCAAATAATTCATGGTATTATTAAAGTAATTATTATGATAATACTTATCTATATAAATATTAAAGTACTAATATTTTATGGTAAAAGTTAAAGTAATTTTGACCAAATAAATAATACCCATTCTCGTCATTCTTCCTTTTATCTTTCTTTGTTTATTTCTCTTTCTTTTCTTATTTACTGGGTTTTTTCATTTTACATTCTCTGTTATGAACTCTTTTTTTTTATGTTTTATGAAAATATAATAAAAAAAAAAAGAATATTTTAAATTAATAGTATTTTTCTTATTTAAACAATTAACTGATAAACCATTTTTGTTATGAATAAAGTGGGTGAACCACAACTAATTTTGGATGCCGTTAACCATATGAAACAACTCATGAATGACAAGATTCTTCCTGGAATCGCCCTTTGTGCTGTTGATACCTTAAATTTTGTTCTTGATAATACAAAAGGTTTGGTTAAACACATTCTTTAAAAAAAAAATATAATTATTTGTAGCTACTGTACATCATGAACTTAGTGATGAACTAAGAGGAACAATAACTCATTTGATCAAAGCGTATCCATCATCATTAACTCTAAAATGTAGTTGTGATTTATATATGCATTTTATCAACCAAACAACGTTAGCAAATGATTTTTCTGTAGTTCTTTCAAATATAAGACATAGTGGCAGAGTTCTTCAAAATAGACTTCACCAATGCAGAGATAAAATTGTTGATAATTGTGCATCATTTATTCGTCCATCCATAACAATTTTAACCCATGGACTTTCAATGGTAGTTTGTGGGATTCTGTTATCTCATAAAGACACTCAATTCAAATTGATTGTTACTGAAGGAAGACCATATAATTATGGAGAAGAAGTTATAAACTACTTAAAAGAGAATGGTGCTAAATTTGAGATTGAATTAATTTGTGACACTGCTGTTGCATATAAAATGAAAGAAGTTGATTTTGTATTAATTGGAAGTCAAGTACTAGTAAAAACAGGAGGTTCTGTTAATTCTGTTGGAACATATAATATTGCTATTATTGCTAAGCATTTTAATGTGCCTGTTTATGTTGCTGTAGAATGTTTTAAGTTTAGTGACAGTTATCCAATAGAACAAGAAGATGTTAATCTTACATTAATAGATAATCCTACAAAAAAAATTCTTTATGACTACACCCCACCAGAAATGATTTCTCTTATTTTTAGTGATCTTTCTGTATTTACACCTTCTGCAGTAGCTGATGAACTGATTAAATTATATGGTGGATAATACCTTTTATTTAATTAATTTTTTTTAAAATAAAGGTGTTGTGTTATTTTATTTATTAAAAATAAAACAAAAAATTCAAAACAATCATGTTTTTAATCTAAAAACCATTCCTCTATTCATTCTGATTAATACCTCATATTGAGAAGTTCAGATGGAACTTCTTGATGTGCTCCTTTTAAGACCGAGATTAAATCTTTGGCTAACCTTGCATCCGCATAAGTAAATAATGAAATAGCCTCTCCTTCAACACTTCTTCCCATTCTTCCAGTTCTACCAATTCTATGAATATAATTTTCTATGTCACTTGGCATTTCATAATTAATAACTATCTCTATATTTCTAATATCTAATCCTCTTGACGCTAGATCTGTTGCAATCAAATAGTTGACAGCTCCACTCTTAAAATCAGAAAGTGCTCTGTCTCTTTCTGCTTGTGCCTTATCTCCATGCATACAAGCAACTCTATATCGTTGATCACGTAATTTATAACACAAATTATCAGCACTTCGTTTTGTTTTTACAAATATTAGTACTTTCTTTTCTGATCCAATTCGTTTAACAATTTCATTCATTTTAGAGTCTCTATCTCGTTCTTGACATACTTCTACAATTTGTTTAACAGACTCATTTGCATGAAGATCTGGATTTCCAATATTAATTTGTAACGGATGAAACATAAACCCAAGGGCAAATTGTTGAATAGCCTGGGGCCATGTAGCTGTCCACATAACTGTTTGTCTATCAGGACGAATTTGACCAATAATATCTTGAACTTGAACTTCAAATCCCATCTCTAACATTCTGTCAGCTTCATCAAGAATTAAGAATGTACACCTTGAAAGATTAGTAACTCCTCGTTTAATAAAATCAATTAATCTACCTGGTGTAGCAACACAAATATCACAACCTGATTGAAAATCTTTCATTTGACAAGATTGAGGTACTCCTCCAAAACATCGTACTGTTTTGATTGAAGTTCCTTTTGTAAATTTAATTGCTTCATCTGCAATTTGACAAACTAATTCACGAGTAGGTGCTAAAATTAATACTCTTGGTCCTTCTCTATACTGTGCTAGTGGTGTATCTAATATATGTATAATTGCTGGAATTAAAAATGAAATTGTTTTACCTGATCCAGTCTCTGCAATACCAACTACATCTTTCCCTTGAAGAACAATTGGCCATCCAATTGCTTGGATTGGTGTTGGTTTAATGTAGTTTTGTTCTTTTATTACATCAAGAATAGATTGTGGAAAATTACATTCTTCAAAAGTTAAAAGAGCTTTTATAGATTCACATCCATTAACTTGAATCTCATTTTCTTGTAAATATCGTGACACTTCTTCTATATTTCTGTTTAACGTAATTGGAGATTCAACATAAAAATCTTTTTTAAATGGTGGAAGAGTATTAATATCATAATTGACAGGTTGTAGTTGTTTAGTAGATATACTTTCATATTTATTAACAACATTTCCACTTGAACGATAACTTCTACCATGATCATTTCTTCTACTATAATCATCTCTTCTTTTATAATCGTCCCTTCTATCGTAGTTATCTCTTCTATCGTAATCGTCTCTTCTATCATAGTCATCCCTTCTCTTATAATCATCTCTTCTACTATAATCATCATTTCGTTTATAGTCCTCATATCTGTGTGAGTGTTCTCTACTTCTTGACCTACTTCTATCAGTGTATCTATGTGAATTTGATCGACTTCTTCCACTCATGTAAAGGGTTTTGATGTATGAAGTTCTTTTTCTTTTTTTTTAATTCTTTTTATTATTTTTTTTTTAGTATTTTCTATTTAGGTTTTTATGCACCTTCTTTATTTGCTTAATTTGACTTAAAGTTTTATTTGCATTTAAAAAATTTAATGTAGTTTTGACCTTCTTGTTACAGTACTCTTCAATCTGATAAGGTAATAAGAAAAATTTTTATTTAATGTAATATGTGATTGAGTCATTAAATGAAGATAAATCATTTATTTTCTTTAATTATTAAATAGAACAAATTTCTTAAAAGCTTAAACTATTGAATTTTCATTTTATTTATTAAAATTTCAAAAAAATTAAATAAAAAAAATTAAAGAAAAAGTTTAACAAGAGAACTAAAATTTTTTATAATAAAATATTTAATTCATTTAATATGGAGTTTATTTCATTACCAGAATCTATCAAACAAAAAATTTACCAAAATTTATTACCTTGTGATCTTATCCAATTAGGAGCAACATGCCAAACACTTCATAACTCTATTTATAACGATGATCTCTTATGTCAATTATCACTTATAGATCACTACAATGAGTACGTTATTGGAGAGAGATCAGAAAAGTTATTTAAATTTGAAACTTTTGAGCAAACCTCTGGTTCTGATTGTTTAAATATTATTTATCCTAATCTTGTTAAAAATTATGTAAATGAACAAAAAACTCATTTTTGTCCTTTAAACTCATTTATTCCGCATATCCCGAATGATATTATTCAAGTTAGTTTAATTTTTACATTAGGACTTTATTATATCCCATACATTTATCCTCTTGTTGTATTTAGTCCATTATGTATTTTAGCAGGGTATTTTAGAAATATTAAAAATCAAATACAACCTACAATAAATAGTTTATGTCATTCAGATAAGATAATAAAAAAGCGTTTGTTCTATAGTTTTATTATTCACATTGAAGTTATCCTTCCATTCTTTTTTCTTCCAATTCTTCTTCCACTAGTATTTGTTTATCCAATATTGCTTCTTGCACCTTTAGGATTATTTGCATTTAATTTCTTTTTAAAACAAAAGTTGGTGCCTGTCCTTATTGGCTATACATTGTCAATTATCCCAACTCTTATTATATATTTCTTTAAACCTAATCCAGAAATTCTTGTGACTTTGTTACTACCTGCTGTTATAGTATTCCTCATATCAATAAACTCTAAGCATATACAAAAGAAAATTATTCACTCTGAATTTGGTAAGCGTTGTATAATTGGATTATTTATTGGTGGAGTTATTGGTATTATTTATGCAATGACGACCATCAAGATAATTACAGAAGTTGTTATCGGTTTAATACTCATTGGCACTTTTGTTTTATACAGAAGGTCAAAAGAATAAATGAGTTTTTTCAAGTCAAAAGTTTTTTAATTTCTTTTTAATTAGAATGATAACCAAATACTTTAAATTATAAACAACTTTGAGCGATAACTTGATTAATATCATCATCATTTTTAAGAAGAATCTCTTCAAGTTCTTTTTTCATCCTTTCTTTTTCCTCAAAAGAAGTTGGTAAAACTGATGGTTTTTTAAGATGAAATTCTTCAATAAAATATTGATCAATAGAACAATAACTATTCATTAACTATTTTTTAAGTTCAAGTCTTAAAATAAAAGTAAATAGTAAAAAAATCTGTAATTACTTTTTTCTTTTTTAAAGTCTGCTTTCAATATATTCAACAAGTTTAGAAACACCTGGAACAAGGAAAGCATCACCAGACTCACATCTAAATACTGCCATAACGATAAGGAATATGTAAAACAAGAAGAAAATAATAGCATAGATAACGAAGATAGTATAGAAGAACCAGTTGTTAATAAACATTAATAACAATAAAATGAGAAGAACACTATCTAATATAATGTGCCAAAATGCACTATGACATGCAGTAAGTCTAATATATTGATTTTTCTTTTCCATAAAGAATACAATAAGAGCACCAATAAAACCAAATGCAGTTGAAATAACTGCTAAAACTTTAAGACTACAACTCATACTTTTGTCTTGTGGTTCTGGAGCAACATAACCATCATCAAATGGATTAGAGTCTTCAACAAGAGTCATTAAATTTTAATATTTCTAAGTTCTTATTATTTCATTTTAAATCTTTGTTTTTAGTTATTTTATTAATTTTTAAATTATTTTTTTAATTCTTATTATTTCTTTTAAAATCTAAAAACCGGATCTATTTGACTTTCAATCGTTTTTTTACCAAAAAAAGATTTTTATTTCTTTTTAAATTTTTGTTATTTAATATTTTTATTAAATTTATTGAACAAAATTTAATTGAAAAATCAAATAGATTTTTGATGTTATCAATTTGTATCTATTAAAAATATCTTTTTTTCTTATTGAAAGAGTAAAATTAATTAGTATAAACTGAATATTTCAATTAAGTTGTTTTAAAATCCTTCTTCTTCTTCATGAACTTCCTCTTCATGTACTTCTTCTTCGTGAACTTCTTCCTCATGAACTTCTTCTTGTGGTTGTTCAGTTGGAACAGCCTCCTCACGACGTTCACCAGAATCACCAAAAACAACACTATGTGGTTTTCCTCCAGCTCCCTTTTGAACTGTTCCAATATTCTCAGCTTCTTTTTTTGGTGCATTTAAAGCTTGTTTAATTGCAATTGAATCAGTAACAGCAGTAGCTGTAGCTTTTGGAACATGATTTTTACAGTATACAGCTTGAGTTCCTTGATCGAAAAAGAAATTCTTAAGTGTTAAATGAAGACCACATTCTTTACATTTGAAACATGCATTATGATAATCTTTACCACCAGCAGTAATTCTTTCTAATGGGTATGCACTTTTACCACAAGCAAAACACTTCTTAGCAGACATTTAATCTGTTTCTTTCATATCTCTGAACGATCTTTATATACAATTTGCTTACGTGTACACGCGTTTTTTTATATTTTTCTAACTCTTTGTTTTTCCTTCTGATATAACTTCCCGATATTTTAGTTATCTTTGTTCCTTTCTTAAATTATTTGTTTGATTATGCTCTTTTTTTGGCAAATCTTTTTTTGAAGTTTTGAATATCTAGTTTAACTAGATCAACTCTTTTGTTATTTCATCCCTTTTTTCCGAGATTTTGTTTCATAATTCTTATTTTTAGTTAGTTCCGTTATTTTTTCGTTGAAGAACTAAAAAAAACTCTTCTTAGTGATTACTTGGTTTTATGGAAAGTATTATTATAAAATATCTCCATTTGAAGGACGTATGTAATTTAATTCTTGTTAATAAAAAATGGAAAGATATTATTTCTAATATTACCACTAACCCCAATAATGACGAGTTAAAGAAAGAACTCAAAATCTTTCCAAAAGTCGAAGAAATTCATGGCGAAATCGAAGAAATAGAAGAACTAAAAGATTTAGTAAAAAGGAGTAAAGCATTTTATATTAAATATAAAAGTTGTTATTTAACTCAATACGATACAGAGTTTGAAATTAGAAACAAAATTAAATTTATTGAATCTACTACAAATTGCCTTTCACCTTTCAACGGATTATTAGGGATGACTAAATTAGAAGTTATTAAAATACATATTTATTTTGATGAGGTTGATAGTGATGATGATGACATTACAACATTTAAATCATTCTTTTTAAATTTAAAGCAATTAACTTCTTTAAAAAAGGTAATTGTTTATTGTCATTATTATGATGTTTTAACAATAATTTCTATGATTAATCTTTCATGTGAAATTCTTTTATATGTTGATGAATGGTTTTGTTACAATAATGACAAATTAAATAAACATTTGAAATTTAAGCCAAATATTAAAATAATTACTTTTATTAATAAATCATCTTATCCTCTTATTCAATTACCAATAAAAAATACTTATATTATTAATATTATATTCTTTAATCAATATTTTCTTTTAGAGTCTTTCCTTAAATCATATCAACCAATTCATCTACGTATTGATTGTATGAATATTCAAGAATTTAATGATAAATCAATAGATAATCTTAAAAAATCTACAGTTAAAAGTATTCAATTAGATAATATTAGAAAGATTCCTAAAATATTACAAAATACTTCTATCACAATTTCTCTATCACAAATTTAATATTTATTTTTTTAATTTTTCTCTAAATTAAAAAATAAATGATAAATAGAAAAGAGCAATTAAATTTGAACAGAAAAGAACGAGAATACTTTTTATCACATAACGGTACAACAACCATTTTTTGATTTTTCAGGAATTGGACTAAATTTTTGAGTCATACAACTAAAGAGTTTATCCATAACTTCTTCTACTCCTACCCCTGTTTGAGAAGAAATTTTGAAATATTCCATATTCAATTCTTTGGCTTTTGCTTGTATTGTTTCATCACTAATTTTTTGTTCTAAATCAGCTTTTGTTCCAACTAATATTTTAATTGGTTTTTTAATATCATCTTTTGGCTCATATAAATTAATCTGTTCAACCCAATTCTGAATATCTTTTAGTCCATTTTCATTTGATAAATCAACCATTAATAATACTCCTTGGGAATCGTTGTAATAAAAAGCGGTAATATACGAAATATCTTCCATATCTTGTGTGTCACATAAAACAATATCATATTGTTTATCTTTTAAAGTAATATGTTTTACTAAACTATCAAATGATTCTTTCATATCTTCAGCATGACAATACTTTTTAACAAATGTTGTTTTACCAATGCCGTAATTCCCTACAGTAATTACCTTATATTTGATTGTTTTGTCTTTGTTATTCGACGACATGGGCAATTTAATAGTTCTCCCTTTTATTTTTTATTTAATTTTTCTAACTGAAAGGGTTTTTTCTTTTTTTTTTGTCTTCATAAATAATAGTTCTTCTTGCTTTTTCTATTTTTATTTTTTTTTAAAAACATTTTTTTGTTTTATTTCTTATAAACTATCTTTTTTGTTCTTATTAATCTTAAAATGACGTGTTTCCAAACAATGATATTTACTTCAAAAAATTATATTTTATTATTTCTAAAACAAAAAAATTCTTCTTTTAATAACATAATTAAATAACAAAATTTTATGCATTCATAAAAATCAATTTATGCGGAAGCTTTTATTTCGAACATTCAAGACGAAGAGTTTCTCCATTGTTAATTAATAACATAAGATCGCAACAACCAATAAGAACTTTATGTTCTGTCTCTCTTCTTAAATAGCATTTAGCTGATGGATCGATATCAAATATTTCTTTTAATGAATCAACTACCTCTTGAGCAGTCATTCCTGGAGTAATATCCATAGACTCAGACTTTCTGGAATATTTAACTGTTAATGTCTTACAACCAGCTGAACAAATAGCCAAAGGAGCAACCATAACAACATTCTCTTTTTCAGTCTTTGGATCAATGCGTGGGCGTTTACCTCCACCAGGAATATTATTTATTTTTGGCTTTAGGGTAATTCCTTTTGCAGCACAAAAATATTTGCAACACTTCAAATGCCTTCTTAAATTTTCTGGTTTAGCTCTAATCCTAAATAATTTATTATCTCCTCCTTTGTCACTTTCAGCCTTACAATACTTACAAAAAGCATAATCACGTCCATTAATTTTCCTTGGAATCTTTTCAAAATGTTCCATTATATCTCCCTTTAAAGGAACAATTTCATTAAATTGTGCGGTCTCAATTACTGGGGCTTCATTTGCTTCAGTGCTTTCAGAAAGTTGTTGTGATGTTTCACTCTCGCTCATCTTCTTTTCAAGATGATTTAGGACATTTTCTTTCTTCTCTATTCCCTGTCTTTTTATAATCTCGATAAAACTTAAAAATTCAAAGTAAGAGTCGAGAAGTATTATATTCTTATTATATTTTTCTATTTTTTTTTGTTAGATTGTTTATATTTCTTTTAAACATTAACTAAAACAATAACAAAATATTATTTATTATTAATAAATAAAATCAGATAGATTGTCGAGTTTTCACCAGGATTCAGACGAAACACGGAATCAAATCATCATCTTATCTTTAAGTTTAAAAGTTGTTTTAATAAAATTATTATTAACAGTATATTTTATTAAGGTTTTAGTATAATAATTAATATTTTATAATTTTTTTATAATTTATAAAATGGTTATAAATTATAATAAAAAGAAAAAGAAGTATTGAGATAAAATTGTTATATTTTCTTTTAAAGTGATAAATATTCTATCACTAATTAGTCTAATATTATAAAGATAAAGTAGTGTTAAAAAGTAAAGTATTATTAAGTATAACTTATTATGAAAAGATAATTATTGTTATGTAAAAATAAAAAAGAAAATAATATTCTATTAAATAATTTAAGTGTTAAAAGAGTAGGATACCTAGTTTTTGGTTATTGTTTCACAAGTTTCTTTTGTAAAGTATTTTGTAAATATTAATTTTATTCAATTAATTGCATTTTAGTGTTTGTTATGAATATTGACTATTTATAATTAATCTATTCAGGTATTTTTTATTGAATAACAATCAAAGAAAAATTTGTATTAGAATAAAATTATTAATTATATTTTTCTTACTTATATGTTATAAAGATAATTTATAATTGATAAAAAACATGTTTATTCATTCATTCATTAATTATTGTGTAAATTTTTTATAAATAATTTTTTAATTAATAAAAAGTTGTTATTTAATTATAATAGAATAAGTTTCTATTATTTCTTATTCTTGACAAACTCATCACATCCTTCTCTGCATTTATTAATTACTAAAAAATAAATAAAACCAATAAGAATAACTGAGTAGTTTATTATTTTATAATTAACTCTCTCAACCATAAAAATTTACTTCTTCTTTAGTTCCAATCACAACAACACATAAACTCTAGTGGATGATCTCTTATTTGAGTACAACAAAGAAACTTAAAAAATGTCTCGATTCGTGGGTATCTCCAAAATGAAATATATGAATTATCTACAACATAATAACAACATGAACATGCCCCTTCCGTGCATTGTGTTGGTAAAAGAGCATAAAATTCTCCAACTACAATTATAAGTAATAATAAAATTTCAACAGGAATAAGAGTTAACGACCAATACCAATGAACAATATTATCTAATTTCAATCCAATAAAGAGTAAAATCAAAATAAAATACCAAAAGATTAACGTATAATGGGTACATAAACAACATTCACAAATATCTTCTATTCCACTAGTAAACTCTTCTAATTCAATGTCATAACATCCAAAAATTATTTTTCTACATCTACCTTCAGGAAATGAACAACAGGTACCACAAGTTATTACACATGACTCACATAAGATAGTCACTATCGCAATATGGAATGGTATCAAATAACAACTATAATACCCTTTAATTACCTCACCACCTCTAAGAAGACACAAGAATAAAGATACGAATATTAGAAAAATATGAGGAATAACTCGAACTAACCACCAACATTCGAACCTTGGTGGAGACCATGCCCACGGCAATAAGTTGCAACTAAAACACCCACAAAATGAAAAACAAAAAAAGTATATTGTTAATGGAATAAGGAGGACAAAACCATCTATGTACTTTGTAAAATAAAGACTAAATAGTATTAAAGTTGACAATAAAACAAAAGGAATAAAATGAAGGAACGACCTTTTAGAACTATAGTAATATAATTGACGAGTATAAGAGAATAAACCATTATATATTTTAATATCTCTATTATTTTTACTCATATGCTCTATAAAGTTATTGTCTTTAGTTAATACTCCACAACAAGAATAAATCATTGGGGTAATTACTTGAAACACAATTAATAAAATAATATCAACTAAAATTGGTGTAGTACTTATAAATCCATCCAATGTTAATCCTCCTAATAATAAAAACAAAAAGAGTAGAATAATTGAGATAATGTCAGTAAACCAATTTTGTAAACATCTTCTTCCAATTAATCCACACCTTACTCTTGTTTGAAGACTGTAACTTTTTTCTAGTTCTTGTGTAAATTCTTTTTCAATAACTTCACTCATTTTAACAACCTTGTAGTTTTTTATTGTTTCACCAATAGTTGAAACTGATTGTGGTGATTGGGTAACTATTTTTAATAAATTTAAATCATTTTGTTTAGTGTATAATTGTTTACAAGTAGAAGTCATATGGATAAATGAGGGTAAGTCTAAATGAATGAAAATTGTATCAATAATATCATCAGGTAAGTCTGTAAATGAAATAGAAACATTGTCATGAACATTTAATTGGTCTTTTTGAATGAGAAGGGGTAATTTGCTTTCAATTGTTTTAAGTGGTTCAGACATGGTACCACTAATATAAGAAGTTTTAAATTAAAATAAAAAACACAAAAATTTTAAAAAAAGACATAATGAATTGTTTTTATTCAAGTGCATGTTGTGGTGTTGTTGAACCATTTTGTTCTTTTAACGCTTCAAGATAATTTAAGATATTTTGAACAAATTGGACAGCTTTTTGTGACATAACTAACCCCTCCATTGGATCAGTACTTTCTGGTTCATATAAATTAGGTGCTATAACAATAGCAAGATTTTGGATTGTCATTTTATTTGTTTCTCTGTTTTTAGAAACTTCAATCATAAGATCAAATAACCAAGTCAATAATGCACGTGATTTTTCATTTAATGATTCAAAAGCTTTATAACTCTCAGATGGTTCAGTAGAATAAAAGATTTGATCACATGAAAGTACATTTAAAATAGGTCTTGGTAATTCACGGAACCATAATTTAATTAAATTAGATATATCATCAACAGTTGCATTCATCATATCTTCAGTAATAATACCATTTGATTTATTTAATCGTTCTTTTAAACTTTTTACCATTCCTTGTTCTCCAGCAAGTCTAAAAACTCCTTCTGAAGTAAAACCTCCTTTTTCTCTGAATGCAATATCCAAAGTAATAATAATTTGTGGAAGAATTAAGTCTCGAGTTGGATGTTTAAACCATTCTAATGATTCAGGATCAACACCAAATACACCAGACTCAGACCTTAATCTCACATTAAGGAAAATTTGTCCTTGAGTTTCAGCGGATAAATTGACTCTAAAATTTTTATTAATTTTTTGTCTAAGAATTAAGCTTGCTTTAATTTTCTTTTTACTTTTTGAAGCTAAACTTCCTTTTTCTGGAGTAAATTTTAACTGGAAATCTTTCTCAAATATTTGTTCTAACTTGAAATTGATTTTAAAATTTTGTAAATTAGTAATAATAATTTCATCTTTATATTTCTTATTTACTTCTAGTACAACATCTCCAAATAATAGAGTGTCTTTATTTACATGAAGTGCATCACTTAGAAGAACACTCTGCCTAACATTTCCAGTTGGTTTTTGAATTTCATTTCCCATGTTCTTTTGAAATCTTTTTTAAAGTTCCATTGTTTAAAAATAACTCAATGGTAAAGGGTTTGATATTCCTATTTTTGATTATTTCTTAGTTTTACTTAAAAAATATCATTCGATACTCCAAGTAACTAATAACAGAACGAGTATTAAGAAGATAAGTTCGTAGTATTATTTCTCTTTTGTAAAGGATTCTTGAATTAGAATTTATATATTTTTGTAAAATGACTTTATTTTTTGATGATACAAAAACAAAAAAAAACAAATAAATAATAATTTATCGATAACGTTTTTAAATAGCTTATGTCAGAGATTATTCATGGATGTTTTAAAGAAACAACAAGAGGCTTTTTATTTAGTTTTTGTAGTAGAACAAATAAAATCTGATTTAAGTTGGTACCATCTTTGTAAATGAGATTAATAGGATATGACGTACTTGGAATATTTGAAGTTATTTGTTTTTGTTTTTTTGAGAGAGTGTTGGTACATTTTCTAGATAAAATTAATGACCTATAAGTAATGAATAAAAAGAAGACATAAGTAATGATAAGAAATATATAAAACTTGGTTTGTATTTTTTCATTTATTTTTAATTTTCATGACATGAATTTTTTAATATAACTAGTTCTTTATTTAACTGTTGATTTTCGAGTATTTAACTATCATTTTCTTTCTCAAATATTAACTGCTCATTTATGGTCTTAGTTTCTTCAAAAGATAAACTAATATCTTTTTTAATTTCAGTTAATAATTTATTAACATATTTTGTGTTTCACATTTAATAATTATATAAGTTGAACAAAATTTTTTTTGTAATTCATCTGTTATATTCTTTAAACACCTCAAATTTTAATTCAACTCTCTAAATTTTCATTTTTCTGTTTATGTAATGGCTCTTGGTTGTATTTTCTACTGTTAAATGATTTAATGATAAATCTGCAACTTTTTTAGTTAAAATAATAAATGGTTTGTTTGATTCATCAATAAATTCTTCTTCATTATATTAATTAGATTAAGTAATACTAGATTCAACAAATGTATATCATCTCCACTATTAATAAACTAACTGAATTACTTTTTACATTTTCTGTTTCTACAATATCATCGACTAATTTATTTAATAAACTTATTCTATATGCTACAAACTTATTGATAGAACAATAATCCTCTTTTCTGTGCCATGAAGTTTGATGTATTTACACTAAATTAGATGAAGAATAGAAATTATATGAAGTATTTTTTTTTTTGATTAGGTAATGTAAACTCTCCTAAAACACACCAATAAATCTTATGTATTGAAAAACTTAATGTTAAATTCTGTAATTGGTTACTAAATAATTCAAAAATATCAATATAACTTAGTGTAATTGAATTGTTTGACATAGCCCAACAACAAAATGAATATTGTCTTGACATGACGAAAGACAATATTCATCTTTATCACTATTCAACAATTTTTACTTCCCTTCATTATTATTAACAAATATTTGCTATTTAAAACAAAAATAAACACATGCCTTATCATTTATAACATGTATTTTTGCATCACAACCACTGAGGTGTTTTTCTATTGGTTAATTGATCATTCTTAGACTAAGAATTATTAATGCACAGATATTGACTTTCATTTGTTTCTTTTAAGCTACAGAAATAAAATATCATTTCTGTACTTAAAAAAATATCTAAGAAATGTTATATAACATTGGAAATAATTATCATAATGTAACCAACATTTAATTTTATTGTGACTATTTTATAGATTCTTTAATGGGGATTTACGAAATTATATTATAACGAAATTTATTCTATTTAGTAATAACTCTCTCTTGTCAACTTTTGTACTAATCCATTTTTACAAGGTTTTGTGTTGAGAGTTTTGATAAATTACTGAAAAATGTTACATTTATTTTTTTATATGACAATAACTAATATGCAACTGCTTACTTTTTATAAAAGATAATTCTTATTTCAGTCATTTGTCTTAATTGTAGTTAACAAAAATAAAAGAGACTTATGAATAGATTACTAAAAATATCAAATTGTGCTGACACTAGTATAACTAAGTAAATCGTTCATGAGAAAATTGACCAAATAAGTCATTAATAATTACAATAAACGTTGGTCTGTATAATCATAACTCGCATTATTTTTACTGATATGTTAATTTTCTTCTTCAATATCTATACACGTTTATTTTTAAATTTTATTAATATATTGTTCTTATTTTTCTTCTCTACACCATATTTCCTCCTTTTAAATAATTCCTTTTCTTTATATTATTTCCTCTATTTAAATAATTCTAAAACTTTAAAGAAAAAGACTTTCAAGTTTTTATTTAATGTTAAACATAAAAAACTAAAGTATTTGTTTATTTAACAGGATTCTGAATGAAAAGGCATTGCTGTTATAGATAAGAATAAATTAATTCAAATAAATAAAGTAAAAATTATGTTAAATTTTATAAATTAATACTTACTTTTAAAACTATTGGTCATTTTTAACTGGTTTCAAAATATCTTCCTCTTTTTTTAATGTCTTAAAGGATAGAATTAACTAAACACTTACAGAGTATTACTAGAAATTTACCTACACAAAAAATTAATATTAAATCTTTTTTTATAACAATGAGATAATGAATTAAAACAATAAACTGAAATAAAAATCTTTCATATTATTACAGATCTTAAATAAATACTAAATACTGGATTTAGTGAGTAAACTTGTTTAGTCTATAATATGATTTATTTAATAAAAAGTTTTGATTAATTTTATAACAAACACTTTAAATAATAACTAATATACAAATTTATAGTATAATAAAGTAAATATCTATATATTTATAACAAAAAAAACAGAAAATAAATAGTAAAGAATTTTACTTTTTATGATTTAATAATAAAACACCTTTTATTAAACAATCTACAGGAGTTCTATTCCAGTAAACTGAATATTTTTATAACTA